CGATCATAAGTGTAGTCAACCGTGTAAACTTGAGCAATCCATCAACCATGTAAACCAAAACACAGCCGATACTAGAGACCAATAGAACTTAGTCTTCGTGGCTCATGCAGAGAAACTTCACACTAAAAGACAAAGATCGTGAAAGTATGGTCACTTGGACTGGGTGTCCGCAAGATATCTACATACACAGATCTACCCCTGGATATTACGAGTATAAATTATTGCAAAATCTAAAATAGTCAGAACCAATAGGGTGGGGAAATATATGCCTCCTGTCTTTAATAAAAGTTAGATTATTCAGTCACTAAAGCTAGAATAATCCCAAATTTTATGTGTGGAAACCAAAGAGAGAGAAGCATGGGACGATTGTCGAAAATGAAAGGTACGGAAGGTAGATTCTCTAGACCAATCAGCGCCTTTTAGGATGTCTGCAAGGGATCCCCGAGCCATAAAGGCAGAAGAGGCAGCAGCCCCTCTAACAGAATGAGCTCCAAAAGAGGAAGCTATGCCCGTTAAATCGAGAAGCCATTTAATCCAGCGGGCAATCATGGGAGAAGACACTGGCTTGTTTGGTCGCACATATGAGATAAACAGGGGGTCCGTAGGGGTACGTAGAGGTGATGTAGAGGCGATGTAGTGTTGGACACAACGAGCAACGCAGAGAGATGGCTTGTCAGAGAAATAAGGGTATGTAATCGTTAAGGAATTTGTTTTAGTGCGGCGAGAAATGTTGAAACGTACACCTTGGGGAGTGAAATCAATAGCATGGAAGTCAAATGTTTGAATATCAGACACTCTTCTAAAAGACACTAAGCAGAGAAGAAGAGCTAACTTGGCAGACAGTTGTCGAAGAAAGAGTGCTTCGTTGGATGGCCAAGCCTCCAAGAAGGACAAGACAAGGGCAGCATCCCAAAAATGAGAATATTTTGGGACAGGAGGTAGAGCAAGATGAATGCCACGCAGCAGTCTACAGATAGAGGGATGTTTACCTACTGCAGCATTGTCAATGGGACCATGAGCTGCCGAAATTGCTGAACGGAACACATTAACGGATCTGTAAGATTTACCTTGATCAAAACGAGATAACAGAAAATTCATAATGTTAATCAAAGAAGCTGAAATGGGATCAATACCCCTTTCCAAACATAAGCAATGCCAAACTTGCCAGGCCGAGAGGTAAGAGCGTCTAGTCCCAGGGGCCCATGAGTCGCATAAGAGATTTCTAGTAGTCTCCGAAAGTCTTGCGACATTCCAGGATCCCCTGAAACAGTCCAGGACACTAGCTGGAGATGACCCTGCAACATGAGAGGGTGAGAGTTGCCTGCAGGATCTTTGAGAAGATTGTGCGTGGCAAGAAGCAGTAGTGGATAATCCACTGACATCTCCAAGAGGTTGGGGAACCATGATTTGGTATGCCACAATGGAGTATTGTTATTGTGGTCCCCAGAGTGGTGGTCCCCAGAGATGGAGTGTGCGAAGGATCATGGAGAACGGAGGGAAAGCATAAGCCCCGGTCATTAACCAAGGTTGAAGGAAGGCGTCGACTGCCAGAGAGGTCGGATCCGGCAACCAACTGAAAAAAGCATCTGTCTGATGATTCAGACGAGACGCAAATACGTCAAGGTGGAATGGACCCCGAAGGAGATGGAGACGGTAAAAAACGACTGGGTCCAGTTGCCAGTCGGTGGAGTCTCTCCAGTGTCGAGAGAACCAATCTGTGACTGGTTGTCGGAACCAGGCAGATACTCTGCCTGAAGAGAGATGTTCCTGTCCAGACAGAATTGGTATAATTATTTTGTGAGATCTGAGAGCATTTTGGAACGGGAACCCCCTAAACGATTCACGTATTGAACAACTGAGATGTTGTCCATCCTCAGAAGGCTGGCATCTGACTCTAGGATAGAATCCGGTTGTGAGCTGAAGATCGCCCTTCCATTCCACGCATCCATGGGTGTAGCCACCAGTTCAGTTCGAGACGGACTTCGTCTGTCAGTGAGATCAGTTGATCATAAGATGCAGAGTGACGTAAAGAGCGAGTCTTCAGACGTTGCATTGCTCAATAATGTAAATGATCTGGGAAAATATATGTATCGAGGAGGAAAGTAGTCCGATTATGTGAGCTAAGTCGTGAAGACGGATAGTTGAAGAGGCTAGGATTTTCCTGATGTCTTTTTTGATGTTCCTAATCTTTACTGCAGGAAGCTGTAGGATAGCCAAAACGTAATCTATTTGGAATCCGAGGAATTGAACCATCTGAGATGGTGTGAGGACAGATTTTTGGACATTGATCACAAACCCCAAGTTCTATAATAGAGCTGTGGTCATGTCTGTATGGAGGCGTAGAGTGCCTGGGTCCTGGGCCATAAGGAGGACATCGTCCAGATATATAATGGATCGAATCCCTTGAGAGCGTTGCAAGGCCATGACCAGTTTCATCAGTTTGGTGAAACACCAAGGTGCAGAACAGAGTCCAAAGGGGAGGCATGTGAACTGCCATAAATCTTGATGCCATCTGAACTGTAGGAAACAGCTATGGGCCGGTGTTATAGGAACCGTGAGGTACGCATCTTTCAATTCGAAAGGGAGAACCAGTCTCCCTCGAAGAGTAGGTCTCGCAGGAGATGTATACCCTCCATTTTGAAATGTCGGTAAACAATAAAATTGTTTAGTTCTTTCAGGTTGATAACTGGTCGAAAGTCTCCCGACTGTATCCAGACCAGGAACATGTTGCTTATGAATCTGTGAGAGGGCAGAGAACGTTCTATAGTGCCTTTGGAGACAAGGTCGTTTAGTGTGGCCTCCAGGGTCGCATTGTCCTCTTGAGACATGTGCAAAGAAGGGGGAAGGGGGAAACCCATGTAGAGGGTTGTTTGCAAAATCTATATGGAAACCAGATACTGGTTGAAGGATCCATGGATCCCGAGTTAATAGAGACCACTGTTGGAAAAAAAGGGTCAACCGTCCTGCAATAGGAAGTTCAGAATAAGGAAAGTCGATTACCTGTAGCAGAACGGCCGTGGAGGGAAGCAGATCCACATCCTCTGATGGATCCTCTAGAGGGAAAGAACTACTTGTGGTAGAAACGGGTATTGCCCGAATTCCATGTGTCTGATGGTCGAGGCCTGTAGCCTGTGAAGGCAGCTCTGCCAGTCGTTCGACCCCTGTAGCGACCAGCTCTCCCAGAAAAACGCTGGGATCTAAACACCCTGCAAAGGGATAATTGTGCCTTATTGAGGGAGGTAAACACTGATACGTGTTTATTCAGGTCCGTATGATCCTGTCCCCAAATAACAGTCCGTTTGCCTCTGGACCAAGTTCTTTGGTGCCTAGTTCTGCCAGTTTGGCATCAATTTTATATAACATGTGTAACGGACCGTTTTGCCCACAAGAGGTTAAAAACCATTTAGGCGATATTCCCCCTTTTCAGCTGCACAGACAGCTACTGAAAGCACCAATCTCCCGAACTGCAAACACATGAATTCACCAATCTCCCGAACTGCAAACCCACGAATTCACCAACTCCCGAACTGCAACCAAGGGAATACTCGAAACTCCCGAACTGCATACACACAAATAGCTGCTAGCAGACGAACAGGAAAAGCCCCCAAGCGGCTTACACTGCTGGCAATCAGTCTCTAACAGCATACAGTAAATCCTCCCCCCAATAATGAGACGACACTTCACTTTGATGTTTAAGCAGGAACTGCCCTGTAATGGCCACACACTGGCTTTTATGCAAGTCCCCATGCAAGGGGACATCCCACAGGGTGGGACACACTACAACCAATCGTTTACAGGAGAACCATAAAACACACCCACAATTACATCACAATCCCTCCTCTCTGTCCTGGAGATAATTGTGAAGTAATCCAATTATCTCCAAGGACAGAGGCAAGACTCCATTAACCACATGGCAGTAACAATACAATAAAAGACATAAAATTACATACAGTTACATTTATTCCATAAAACATAGACATTCTACATATCCCCAGATAGCCCAGATCTGAGCGCACATTATTACCGGATGGTGCTCAGATCACATACATACAGTTCAATCGCCATGGAGCCAAAGTCTTTCATACAGTCTTTCAGTATACGGCTGGGCTCCATGGCATAGCTATCTGGGGTAGCATGGCTTTAACAGTCCGCAGAAAGGCACGAATAAACCTTTCTGCTGGTAAAATAAAAGTTTAAAATGCAGGACCATAGTCTAAAGGGAGCAGGCGAGCAACCAGGCTTCTCCAGTGTACAGTGGCAAGGTTGGTTTCGCCACAACATGGCTTCACGCCGTTCAATTGAAATAGCGACATTGGCGTTGCCCAACAGGCATATCGTTCTTTGTGCCCATTCACGCACCATGTGTGCATCGAAATTGCCACCTGCTAGCGTCTCATCAGCAATTATGAAAATTTGAATAAGCGGGCCCTCTATATCCATCAGTTTATCTTGTGTGGCTTTCAAGCCTATTTCAATGCCTTTGCGGGGGTCTTTGCCCGTCTTAGTTAGAAAAATGACCAGGAGTGGGTTGAGCTCAGGGGTGACAGCCACCTTATCAGGGATTGTAGGCCGCAGACATTCTGCCCTTAATTTTGCTCTAATTTCTTTTTCTAAGGGTTTACAAAGCCATAATCTGCAATATTTGGCAATGTGATCAGGGGGTGTTCATTCAGCTGAACAAGGGTGTCTGATACAGTGTGGGTCAAAAAGTGGACACCCATTAGTATCCAGTAGGATATCATCTTTAGTAGTATCTAAATTAGTATTGGACATGGGATCAGTGTCCTGAAAGGACTGGTCTTGGGGTAGGAGGAAGGTCTCCATAACAAATTCAGAAGAGGAAGGGTCACGGTCACGTGGGAGATCCTCATCTGGATAAGCATCGTAATCGTCCATCACTTGAAGGTGATAGCCAGAAGTTGAGCCCTTTAAGGGGTCAAATTCTGTAGTTAAAGTGGGTTTGGCATGAGACAATTTAGCTGTCTTTGCTGGGGCTTTGCCTTTGCCAGCAGAAGCACTGTCACCCTTCCACGGGTGCTTACGTGGGGCTTTATCATGATCAAAGACCCTGCAATCATCAGAGTCAGATAATTGTGAGATGGTGGCAGTAGTGGCTGTCTGGTCACGAAATGCTGCTAAGGATTTGGGGATAGAGTCTGCAATTGCAGCTTGAAGCCAGGCTTTTAGTTCTGCAGACATTGCAGGTTCTGGTTGGTCCGACATGATGACCAGTAAAAAATAATAGTGGGTTCACCACAGAAATAGTATAGTATGAAGGCAACTGCAATAAAAACAAATAGACTATGATAAGTAAAATGTTCTATAATAGTGACAGTTAATAATAAGAGGAACCAGCAGAGGGCAATGTACTTACAGTTTAACAGAGCTGCAAAATAACAATCGGAGCTGTCACAAAAAGCGCGCGAAACAGGAGACAAACTGCCGAACAAAAGATCGCCGCCGGCAAGAAGGCAGGTACTGCGCGTCTATAAATGACGCGTAGAAAAGGGCGGCACAGAAACAGATCGCGGGCGTGAGTACAACGGGTCGCAGCCACAGCAGTGGCGTGGCCTGACAGAAACCTTACCGAGGAAACGATCAGTGAGGCACAAGTCCCAATGATTAAGCAAAAATCATAGGGAAGGGATTGGACAGTAGGCTGACCCGAGAAAGGTCAGTGTCATAAAGGGCTAGACAAGCAAGCACACAAATTACCTGATTTTAACAACAGAGAGGTAAAAGGAGTCAAAACATTTTATGAAAAAAAGCAAAACAATGCATTTATAATATAATAAAATATACACAAAGAGAGAGCTATAATTGGAATAGACTCACCTGGGAGGCAAGCAGCAAAGAAAGAGGATTTGGGAGGAGCCTGACAGACTGTTATGTTCTAATATGTGTCCTGATTGGTTGATTTTTTTCTCTATATGTTTAACTATTTCTTTGCTGCTGGGAGGTTCAGTAAAGAAGGTTAAAGCAAATATGAAGCCTCCCGTCTTGCCATAAAATTTAGGAATATTATAGAAAGGATGTAAAGCTTACAGTATCCAAGCAACATTTAAAACATTTTATAAAACATTACATATATGAAGTAAAAACAAGAATTTGAAAGCACTGCCAAAAAGCATTCTTTTTTAGTGGTACTTTCAAATAAAAAAAAACAGATATTATGAGAGCTCTGAGAATAGGCAAAATCTCAATAGATTGCATTTTGGTTAGTCCGTGCTTAGGTCTGAAAATATTTGTGCCACCCATACGGCCAGTACAAATAGTGGCAACATCCCTCTGCATGAGACAATTCTTAAAGCCTTCTTCGGACCTTGGACCTTGGACCTCGTCATGAAGGTGTATCTGATAATCCTCTGGGCACAGTGAGCGCGGGGTCCACATCTGGATTACCCTTTTAACTTAGGGATATCCTAAATAAATGCACTGCAACAAAAATAGAGAAAACGAGAGAAAGGGCAAAAGCCCAGAGAAACCTCAGTAGCTTCCCTTTGGCTAGTCCCCACTCAGGCCTAAAACATGTTTTTGCTCACCCATACCATTACAGAAAGTATTTTTGAATTACCAAAATGTATTCTAAACATCAAAAAAGTAGTCAGAACTATTTAAATCAAATAAATCTTAAGGAATAATAATGATTTGGGGACATCATATGGCCATTCTATGTTACACCCACCCTTACATTAAGGTAATAAAAATGTGGTGCATTCTCATCACAGGAATGACAGAGATCAAGAAACAGACCCAATTTATGTTTTGTTTTTCCTTATCAGGGAGTTTGAGCGTTACATTGCCTGAGAGCTGGGCAGCTGGAGCTTTGACATTGTGGGCTGGATTCTCTTAGCAGACTAGGAGTTTACTCTGCTTAATAAATATTAATTCCTCCATTGAAGACTATGGGATATGTGATATTCAGTAAGCAGACTAAACCTTGACACTGCTAAGAGAACCCAGCCTCTCCACATCTTGGGTTAGCATGCTGTGTGTGTTGACACCAGATGCAAATGTTGCACAGAACTAATGTCTTTCAGAAAAAGAATACTCTAGCTAACTGATTGACAGCTCAGAACAGTGGCCCTACAGAGAGAAAGAAAGGTTTTTATCTCTGAATTAAACTTTTTTTTTAAATTGTATCACTTCAAAACGAACTAAAACATAATTAGACTTGTTAAATACAATAGGAGACCACTGCAAGTCATATATGTATATGAAAGCTATGGAATTATCGTATACAAAAGGAGAGTTAGCCAGCTGAACCATTTGAATCATTTGCATTCCGATTTGCTGGTTGGTGTTTTCAGCCAATCAAAGATGTCTACTAGCTAAATCGTGAGACTGTGTAGATGCATTATTTGTTGGCAAAATTAAAATTGAAGGTATGGTTCCAGTTGTTATCTTAAATAAATAAATTTAACAAGTGAATAACCCCAAAAGAAACGTGAATTCTGAGAATCTCAATATTCTCATATCTCAGATTGCAGGTTTCAGTACAATTGTTAGTTTGCCAAATTCTAAAGCCTTGCCAAACATAAGTATTACTGATATTTGAGTGTCCATGCATCACCACAATGCCAAATTCCTGGTTTGTTGAGAACTCATTGCAGAGGTTTCACTTGCTGTAACTTGAAGCAAATGGTAATATGTGAAATGTGCATTTCTTTTTTTTTTTTCTTTTTTTTTTTTAAAGGGTCAGCCCTAGTGATGAATGCTTTTTAATTGTCTGATGATTCACCATGGCTGTAAGGAGATAGAGGTCTAACCACCACAAAAAAAAAAAAAAAATAGTCTGGATAGGGAAAACTAGTCAATTCACTGAATTTCATGATGTGTTTGTGAGTGAAAATCTTTTTTTGAGCAATTGTAATATATGCCCTTAAACACTGAAATGCTGGGTTAGCATGCTGATTGACTGGCAACAATAATGTAAACCCAGCCCACAAGAGGCAATGCATATTAATTAACACTCACTTTGTTCTGGTGTGGAGTCACCCTCATATTTACGGGGCACATTTGTCTTGCTCAACTATGTCATGAAGAAAGTCCTTATGGACTAAAACATCCACATTTTAAGTCACCATGTTTATATGTAGTGAATAAAGGCTACATTATATAAAAATCAGAAGTCCAGTTAGTGCTTTCTTTTTTACAACATTGTGTGTGGGCCAGAGCAGCACTGAGGTAAATATATTGAGAAAGGACTGCTGGCTCTTTGCAAGGATATATATATAGTATTAAAGTGTGTGCAAATATCTATCAGTAAATCATTTTTTCCAAACAAACGTTGAATATATTTTATGGACATTTATTTCACATCAGGAGCATTTTCTTTTTAAGCCAACTATCCCTCAGAGTTTTATGATACAATCTATTAGGGTCCACTTTAGATTTAGAAATAAATATTATTTTTACAGTATATTCTTTCAAAATTTACAATGTAAATCTTACTTGCTAAAATTTCCTGCATTGTCAGTTATTAAATATGTGCCCTGTTTGATTTTATTTTGGCTGTTGTCAAGAATGTTGATAAATGAATCAATACACTGACAACAGTTTACACAACCACAGACATTCACAGCCCAAATATAAACACATTGAGGCTTTTACTGCAGTTATATACTGGGAGATTGTGACTGTAGTGTCACTATACAGTCAAATAAGGAATCAGGCAAAAAATAATTTTCTTTGTCAGACAAAGCAGAATAAACAAGCTAGACAAGTAATAATAAACCGTAACTAGCAATACTGGTGTGTGACCAAGGGAGAACCAACTTAACAAAAGTCCACACTTCCCACAAGCTACTACGGGAGTCTAGTTGTGGAAATGTAACAAATCTTATCTCCACAACCAGGAAAAGAGATCATGACATTGAAAATGGATTGCTACGCTTGCTGAAAGAGTTTTAGCAGAAATCAGACACAATGAATGAATTCAATTTAAATGGTTAAGACATGCCTATGCTTAAAGGCATGTCCTTATGTGTTTTATACCCCACCTCCTATAGACTGCAAGCTCGTTTGAGCAGGGTCCTCTTCAACTTATCGTTCCTGTAAGTTTTCTTGTAATTGTCCTATTTATAGTTAAATCCCCCTCTCATAATATTGTAAAGTGCTACGGAATCTGCTGGCGCTATATAAATGGCAATGATAATAATGATAAATAAGCAACAAACTACAAAGAAACAACGAAGAATTAGAAACAACAGAAAGAACAGAGAAAAGTCTATCACAAATTACTGCAGCCTCAACTTGCAACAGTGTCACTTACTGTACAGTCTGCCAAACACACTCATTATAAATTGTAAATAGTTTTGCCAATTACCTCCTAGCAAGCTTTCCATCCTTCAGAGAATGAATAAATGAAAGCTGCAAAGATAAGCAATAACTTCCATTTGACACGATGTAACTAGTGCATTAAAAAGTCAAGATAATTCTTCAAAGCCTAGAAGAGGCCTGGCAACTTTTAGACCATGGGAGAACTACATACAAATAAAAAATTTTCACATAGAATTCTGAGATTCTAGGAAATATCTTGATGGGCAAGTTCAGGACTGCAGAACAATGAGATTGCAGGGTACCAGCTCAAGTCCATATAGTTCTAGAATAGCAAAGGTCTGTAGTATTCCTGCCTACTATATTACTAATACAGTACTCCCTTAAAGGCATCCAAAGATACTTCTAGTTGCTTCATATTAAAAGTAAAAGTGTGCTATGTGTCTTCCATCCACAACAATTGTGTGCTAGTGGCCCAAGAGGCAATGTTTCAGATGTTCCCGTGCAAGCTTTTTCCTGCCATAGCCCATAGGCTTATATAGACTGTGACCCCGGTTTAGTTTCACATTTTATTTTTATAGACCTCTTTTCTCTAAACTCACAGTTTGCAGTGATGGATCACAAAGTAACACACTAGAGCAGGCTTCCCCAAACTCCGGCCCTCCAGATGTTGCTAAACTACAACTCCCATGATTCTATGAATGAAATAGATATGCTGAGAATCATGGGAGTTGTAGTTCAGCAACATCTGGAGGGCTGGAGTTTGGGGAAGCCTGCACTAGAGTAACAAATACGGAGCAAGCACTTCAGTGACCCCTGTTATATTAGTGGCTGCCATTTAGCTGTACCAGTATTACTGCAGTAATGTAAAATATTATCTATGAACCTTTAGCAGTACTGCATTAACTTATTGTCAATGTGTACTTTTAATACTTTCGAGTTTA